CACTCTTTACATGTTGTATGTGATGGAGCTCGATCACCATAACCTTCTTCAAGTAATCGATGAACTTCTGCTACACTTTTTTTCAAATCAAAATAGTGCAAAAGCACATGTCGAAAAAACACTTTATCGCGTTCCATTTTTCACAAAGCAAAAGAAATTGTTGTTTAGGAAAATAATTGTGTATGCTGACTGAATGTTATCGAGAAATGTCGAAATTAATCACAAACTACCTGTTTCGTTAGTAATGACTACTAGAACTGTTTGCATTGCCCTCTAACATTTGCGGGCGAAAACTAAGTTAAGGTCCTAATATAATGGCTTTTCTTAACCTTTAGGTTCCCGGCAGTTTTTCATTAAAAAAAATGTTTTTTTTCTCCAAAATTTTTCTATATAAGTAACATAATGTAGAATTTTAAGACTTTTGTGCAAAGCCACAACATAATGTAGAATTTTAAGACTTTTGTGCAAAGCCACAAAAGTGGCTTTCTCGGCAGTCTAAAGGTTAATGTAATTCAATCATATACGCATAAAGCCCAAAATCTTGTAATTCTCGATCCAGGGAATGTTCGGGCATCAATGACGTCGTGTGCACGTTATGGATGACCGAACATTCCCTAGTTAAAGATATTTCGGCTTTATGCGAATAAGGTTGAAAACGTTATAATTAACGCCATTATAACTTCATTATTAATCAAAGTTACTCACACGATTTTCAATCTCAAGAGTATTATGTATGAGATAAAAAATCGTATAACCGTCGATTTTGTAAATGTTGGCAAATCGATGACAACGTGTGCACATCGAACGACACGCGGTCTCCTTTGCGTTCACGTCATTAATTCCCAAATTATAGGTTTCGTCGCGGAGGCGCGACGCGTATTCGTGTCACGCCTGGTGGTATCCTTCGACTAACGAAACATTAAACCGAAACAGCCCTAGGAAAACACGAGGGTGGCTGTTAACACGGCGCGAAATTATGCTCGCATCCCCGCACGCAATATTTCACGACGCGGTCTAAGCGTGTACACACAAGCTGTACGCTCGGGCGGCGCATAATACACACACACACAAACACACACACTGGTACACGCAGATGCACACCCATATACACGCACACCTACGCCAGGCCGAGTAGTCACGTAATTCTAAATGCGCTTAACTTGAAAGCGTTTATCTGTAACCGTATTATTACGGCCGGCACCGTAATTCGTTTCGCTGTTTCTCCAAAGAGGATTTACCCGTTCTGGACTGGAAACGCCGCGGCGCGAGCGAAGTCGCGAGCGTCCATCGTCATCGTCGTCGTCGTCGTCGTCGTCGGATTCTCTCGGTCCGTCCAACCCCGGATCTAGAACTCTGCAAGCGCTATCCGCTCGAAACTTTCGATACTATAATCGCGACGACGTCCGGGACGCTCCCAGATACACCGACGCGATTATGCGACGAGAGAGTGAACGAACGGGCCACTCGCCGCGCCGGATTCGATTCTTATCGTCGACTCTATAGTCGACCTGACTCGCTCGCTCGCTCGCGCCGCGCGTCCTCTCCACGCTCAAAATCTAACGCCATAAATCACGGGGATTACAAAGCATCGACTGCCGGAGATTGCAGCTTGTTTCGGATCCTCGGGGACGAGAACTTTGTATCGGTCGGCCGGGGCGAGGTATAGAAAAATGAAACGCACTTCATGCATTATTCAGGTCCTCTTACCCGGCCGACCGCCACCGTCGTATCCGCGGATAATACGAGGAGCCGGCGGTGAGATGGGGCGACGCGCGAGGGCCACGAAAGTATGCGGCTGGTTTTCACTGATTTGTCCCACGCCGGAAATTATTTACACCGCGCCGGCCCCGAAGAGAGCGGCTCCTTCTTCTCTGCTTCCTCTCCTTCCACCACTACCGCTACTGCTTCTTCTTTTTCTTCTTCTCGCCCGCGGAAGTTCGACGACGTCCGGCAACTTTCACGATAGCGCCCGACGATCGCCAGCACGCGCGCGCAAGCCCTCGTAAAAAAATTGAAGTCTGGCGACCCTCGAAGTGGATAAAAAAGTTCCGTCGAGCCGGCCGAAAGTTTAGAACCGACCGCGATGTACAAGCTCGCGCGTTTGTCGACGGGAGAGAGAGAGAGAGGGTGGAGAGGGAGAGAGAGAGAGAGAGAGAGAGAGAGGGAGAGGGAGAAAGAGAGGCCACGGCGCGGGACATCATTTTTATTCGATCGCGGACGATGCCGCTCCTCGGAGAGACGAACTTTGCTCGCCCACTCGCGTTAGGATTATCTGCGCGCAAAGTTTTCCACGCGATTGTCAGGATTATCGCGCGTTGCCATCGGCGGCCATGATGAACCGCAACCGGACGGAAACGCGCAATGCACCTTTGAATGTTTTTCTCTTCCCCTCCCCTTCTCCTCCCCTATCTCTCCCCCTCTCTCTCTCTCTCTCTCTCTCTAACTTTTTTACCCTCTTTTTCGCGAGCATATTTTTCGTGAAAAACACGAATATTTCCGGGATGCAGTATTTTTTTATGCGACGCGATGCGTTTTTCGAGTAAAAGTTTGCGCAGAGCTGCGCCAAACTTTTTCGGAGCTACATATAAATCTGGAATTGTTAAAGATACGCACAGGTGGGGGAGGGAAAAAAATATAACGGACGATCAATATGCGCTCCTCTCGCGTTTTTACGTTCCTCCGAAGCGTCATATCGATATGCCGGCATTTAGCCGCGGATATGGTTACTCGAGTCGCAATCTGCAGTGACGCACACATAAGTCGTATAAGTTTGTATGAATCTCAGAATCTACTTTTCACGCCAAACGTAGGACGCACTCGCAAGAGTACGAAACGCGCGTATGAGAAAGTTGAAATTGCGATTTAAATGAGAGCGAAAACGCAAAGAAGCGGGACGAGGAATATAAATTAACGCGCGATGTAATTTACGGAGCGTTTGCGAGGCAGCTAAACAAGAAAAAGAAAGCAAAAACGAAGAAAATAAAAGAATTCCGCAGGCACGCGAGAAAGTAATTTCTCAGGAAATCAGAGCGCGGTTCGCGTCAATTAGATTTTTTCACGTTATACTTTAACTTTCCTCACCTTCAATTATGCCGCCTCGAATGGTATTGTCGCGATAATTGCGTTACCGGCACGTAAATAAAACCTATACACAAACATACACACATACACCGTTTTACCGGGGTAAATTGTTATGTACGGCTTCGGCGAGAACGCAATCTAGACCGAAGTTTCATTATAATAAATTGTTTCACGATATTTCATGCTGAGGTTATACGAAACCCCGCCGACAGCCATTGATTCTAGATAATAGAAAAGCTCACAACTTCCCGCGAAATCGCCACATTTAACTCGCACGAAAGTTCACATTCGAGCGCGAGCCTTTTCCTGCGATCACATGTTATTCCTACGCAATAGTCAAGCAAATTCTCGGCAAAGTGTTACTGATAAACTTACGCTCATTTTTCGAGAGAAAATGCAGCATTTTTGCTTTTGCACGATTCATTCGCTAGCGGCTAGACTCACGTTCTGCCTGTTAACTCCAGAGTCTCCTTGATAGACATTTTCGAATGCATCATGCACGATGATGCGCGAGATCTTCGCGATCTCTCTGAAACTAAAATTTTATTAGGAGGACAACCATATCTCTCTTGTTTTCAAAATCTATCACGTCAAAAATTCATTTATTAATTTAGGTTTTTATAAATTAGACTCGTTTTCCTTCCTCCCCCTGACGAGTTTCCATCTTATCGCAGTGAGAGGGCTTACCGTCGCCGGAGAGTGCTTTTGAACGCGGTCAACGAAGAGAAACCTCCAAGCCAAAGTGTGAACTACCGTGCTGAGAGCTGCGTGGTGCAAAGGTTGTTGCATTGTGAACGATATCTCCTGGATACTAGGCGACCTTCAGGAGTATGTAACCAAATCTTGAGTATTCGCGGCTCCACCTGGATGATACCGCACGACCATGATACTCGTGGGACGAAAATGCAAAGTGGACTGAAAGATTTGAAAACTGATATAAATGCAACTCCTCCGAGCGTGGCCATTCTGTATAGTGAACGACCGGAGAACCCGAATTACTTCGGGCAAAAATTGAGCGAGCCAGCTCAATTCCAAACCAAAAAATTTTGTGTTAAGCACAGCCGCGCTGCCTGACGTCGACTTAAGAAACAGTGCGAAAAGAAGAATCAAGAGTTTGAACAGGCATTCCTCACCTGGTTGTCCGCCAGAAGGACTGACAGCCGAAGGGCCGATGCGACGAGGAACAGTATTGCGATGGTTGGACTCGAGTCGCTGAAACGCGTGAGGACCTGGATATATTTGATTCTTTCGACATAACCTCAGCTAAAAAGTCTAAAGTTGATGACCAAAAACCTTGTAGTTAGATTACATCTGGTCTCGTCAAAATTACCATCGTGCCAATGCACTACCTTGATAGAAAATTGGACTGACAAGATAACAATAAGAAACTTAACCCTTAAGCACTGACAGGAGTCTAATAGACTCCCAATGAAATAAAAAAAACCTATTGCCGTTTCATTCCCGCTTAAGCGTATACACATCGCGTCCGTCTATCTTTCTTTGGCTCGTAAGATACGAAGTGGCAACAAGAAAAGACGTTTCGCATACTTTCTCAAGTAATTATCAAACTTCGAAATATTTTTGTAGGTCTGTGTCAGTACTTAAAGGTTAAGAAAAGCTCTATAATATACAATCTAAATTGAAAATATAGAGGGCTTATTAGAACAAGCGTTGGGAGGAAGTACGCATAAATATAGTAAAAAACTTCTATAATTATATGAAATAAAACACAAACATTTCGATCCTACATTGAATCCTTATCAATGTGAATTAACCTTTACGAAAGGCATCTCTTATTACAATGAAGCGCATGATGTTATTTATTGAGTTGCATTATTGGTGTCACTCACCTCATCCCTGTTTGAAGAAAAGCCAAAGATCAAAACTGTGTATTGTCATTATGTTCGTCCATCTTATACACTTCACGAGCATAATGACAATATACAGTTTTGATTTGGCTTTTCTTCAAACAAGGATGGAGTAAACGACGCTATTCAATAATGTAACATATACGCTTTATTATAACGAGAGACGCTTTCAGTAAAAACTAATTTACATTGATAAGTATCTAATGTAGGATCAAAACATTTGTTTTACTTCATAGTTATAAATTAACCTCTAAAAAATAATTAAAATAATTCTATAGTTATAGAATAAATTTTGGAATAAATTTATAGAATAAATGTTCACTTTAGGGGAGTCACCTTTGATCACCTTGACCTTGACATATATTATAGAGGTCATTCTCCTGAGTAACATTCAGAAGGTTTTAGCCGTCGCTCGTTGTTTGTTAAAAAGTTATTAACAAAAAATGTTTTAGAAATAGATCGTAATTTTTGCACACAGTGTACATAAAGATAAGGTAAACAGTATACAGGATAAATAAATTATATTGAAAAAATTATTTATTCAATATTTATAATAAATTTATTCAGTAAAAATTGAAATTGTACATACGATCAAAACAAAACCCGCGCAATATACCCTGTGTGCAAAAATTACGTTCAACTTTTTTTTAGTAAGTACTGCAATCTCGAACGACTAGCGGGGGGCTGCGTCCCCCGCACCCCCCTAAAAACTAACCTAACCCAACTTATCGTCACATTAAGCGTCAGTCATTGTTTATTAAAGTGTTCAACTTTTGTGTTAATGTGACGATAGGTTGGGTTAGGTTAGTTTTGAGGGAGGTGCGGGGAGCGCAACCCCCCGCTAGTTGTTCGATATTGCAGTTATTATTCGATATTGCTCGTTAACGGTACACATTATCGAAAAATTGTAATATATTTTTCGAACTTCTTTCATCAATAACTTTTTAACAAACAATGAACGACGGCTAAAACCTTCTGAAGGTTATTCAGGAGAATGACCTCTATAATATATATCAAGGTTAAGGTGATCAAAGATGACTCCCCTAAAGTGAACATTTACCTAAATTTTTTTACTGTATTTATGCATACTTCTTCCCATCGTTTGCTCTAATATGTTCTCTACATCTGACGAAATGAACTTGATCATGAGATTGATCAAGTTGCGTATTCGTAATCTATGTAGTAGCATGAAGGCCCTCACGTTTAAGGAGATGCCGGACATGAAAACTTTACCGGACATAACATGGACTTTTTTTTGCAAAGCTTACGTCTTGTTTGCATAGAATTACAAACGTTGATAGTGTCATGGTGTGACGCTCGAGCACGTGCTCACGCACGCGTGTTTGACCCGGCTGCGCCTCCCTCCCTCCCAGCTCCGCTCAGTTAACGGCTCGAGTGGGACGTTATAACGGTCGATCTACCTAGTCTTTGTGTAGGCTAGAGTTTAGGTGATCTATAAGCCTAGAGTTTGTTAGAGACGTTACCCAGGTATTGTTATTACCAATTATTCGATCATCATTATTTTTTTATTACCCACTCGCGGATATTACCACACGATAATCGAGCAGATATTATTATCACTATCATTTAATATTCGAATATTATTACTTCTATATTCGATTATTATTTAAGTTATTCGATTATTATTTAATTATTGCTATTACGCATAGGAAAGCAACTCAGGCGTACCATTACGACAATTTTTCTCTTTTATCAGTTATTATCGCCGTTTCCAAGTTATTGTTATTCATTGTTATTACCGATTATTCGATCATCGTTATTCCGTTATTATGCTCTCCCGGATATTATCACACAATTTTTGAACAGATATTATTATCACTAACATTTATTATTCGAGAGTATTACTATATAGTTGCTTTCCTATGCATAATAGCAATAATTAAATAATAACAAAATAAATTAAATAATAATCGAATAAAGAAATAATAATACTCGAATATTAAATGTTAGTGATAATAACATCCGCTCGACAATCATATGATAATATCCGCGAGTGGATAATAAAAAAATAATGATGATCGAATAATTGGTAATAACAATACTTGGGTAACGGCTCTAAAAACTCTGTGCTCAACAAAGGCTAGGTAAACCGACCGTCGCAACGTCCCGCTCGAGCCGTTAACTGAGCGGAGCTGGAGGGAAGGCGCGCAGCCGGGTCATGTAAACATGCGTGCGTAAACACGTGCTCGGGCGTCACACCATAGCACTATCAACCGTTGAGGTGAACGCATTGGGAGTTACCGTGTTATTTTCTAGATTATTCCGCGCCAATTTTTAATATCACGTTTCGATTTTGCGATAATTTAGGCGATAATTAAGACAAATTAAGAGGCGCACTTCTCACGCAAACAGAAGTTGCGGGCTTTACCGCGACAAGTAATTACAGCGTTTCATTTACTTTTTTATTTGTTACATTTTTTTTTACTTGTTAAGAAACGTCGCGATCGAGTTCCTCTATGGCGATCAAATATTATCATTATCCCTTTAATATTCGAGTATTATTGCTTCTTTATTGGATTATTATTTAATTTATTCGGTTATCTCTCTCATTTAATTATTGCTATTATGTATAGGAAAGTAACTCGGACGTACCGTTACGACAATTTTTCACCTCGTCTTTAAGCAACTATTATTACCGTTACCCAGTTATTGTTATTCGTTGTTATTACCGATTATTTGATTACTGTTATTCTGTTATTATACACTCGCGGATATTATCACACGATTGTCGAGCAAATATTATTGTCAGTACTATTTGATATTCGAGTATTATTACTTCGTTATTAGATTATTATTTAATTTATTCGGTTATTATTTAATTATTACTATTATGCATAGAAAAGCAACTCGGGCGTGCCGTTACGACAATGTCTTTACCTCCTCTTTAATCATTAATTATTAACGTTGCCCAGTTATTATTATTCATTATTATTACCGATTATTTAATCATCGTTATTCAGGTATTATCCGCTCGCGGCTATTATCACGCGATTGTCAATCAAGTATTATTATCACTACTATTATTCAAATATTATTATTTCTTTAGAATAATTATGATAATATATGCTCGATAATCGTGTAATAATAGCCGCGAGCAGATCATAACTGAATAACAATGCTTGAATAATCTATAATAACAATGAATAACAATAACTAGGCAACGACAATAATAACTGATTAAAGAGGTAAAGAAATTGTCGTGACTGTACGCCCGAGTTGCTTTCCTATGCGTAATAGCAATAATTAAATAATAACCGAATAAAATGAATATTAAATATTAAATATTAAATAGTAGTAATAATAATATCTGTTTGACAATCGTGTGATAACATCCATGAATGGATAATAATGAAATAATGATGATCGAATAATCGGCAAAAACAATACTGCGCAACGGCTCTAACAAAAACTTTACGCTCCACAAAGGGTAAGTAAATGGACTCTCGTAACGGCTCGCTCGTGCCGCTGACTGAGCGGCGCTTGGGGGGGGGGGGGGGGCGCGGCCGGATTGTGTAAAACGCGTGTGCGAGCACATACTCGAAAGTCACGCCACAACACTCTCAACCGTCGAGCGAGCATATCGGGAGGTGCCGCGTTATTTTTTAGACTATTCCGTACCGATTTTTACTACCACGTTTCGACTTTGCAACAATTGAAGCAATAATTAAAACAAATTAAGACGCGTACTCCTCACGTAAGCAGATATTGAAGGCTTTGCCGCAACAGGTAATTACCGCGTTTTATTTACTTTTCTACTTGTTAGAGAAACGTCGAGTTCCTTAATGCCGATCAAATATTATCATCATCCATTTATTATTCGTGTATTATTATTTTTATTCGGTTTTCATTTAATTATTTTTATTGCGTATTGGAAAGCCACTCGAGCGTGCCGTTACGACGATTTCCTCGTCTTGCTGTCGAGTGTAATTAATTGATACTAACGGATATTATTATATGGTTGTCGATCAAATATTATCATCATCCATTAATTAATCGGATATTATTACTTCTTTATTTAGCTATGATTTAATTATTTCTTATTGCGTCTTAGGAAGGAAGTCGAGCGTGCGGTTTCGACAATTTCTTTTCTTCGTTTTGCTGTCGCGTGTAACTAATTTATACTAAATTATTAAATTACTAAATTAAATTAAATTTCTGCCACAGAACGCAATCACGCGGCTCTAGGGAATGCGATGTCTGGGGGATGCCACGCCGGAGGATTCGGCTGGGACTTGTCTGAATTGACTCGAAGGTGAGCTTCACTAATTTCGTGATTAATACTTATAATTAGAAATCCCACAAAACTGAAAATTTTCTTGCTTA